CAATACCAGCAAGCAATTGGTGAAGACAGAGGTGAACCTGAACAACCTGCGTGTCAACGTCCAACGCAAAACTACGATCATTCGACGCCTCATAAGCAGCAGCTAAACCAGGACCCTCTTGATTCACATCACCAGCAATCACAAAATACTCGCCAGCAAGAATGTCAGCAGGAGCAGCAGGAAGAGAGTTATCCACTTAAGAGACAAAAACAAGTCTGCACTCAGCAGCACAGTCAGGACTGTAATCAGACGCTTTCCCATCAGCAGCCTGCACCGTTTATAGAGCAGCCTCAGCTAGAAGAGCCACAGCGGACGCAGAAGGGTCCTTTAGCACATCAGCAGCAGCCACATCAGCCTCTCGGACACAAAAAAAGTCCACGAGGTGAACAATCACAACAGCTGAAGCGACAAATTCAGCAAGAACGCCAAGTACAAGAACATGAAGAAGGACAACAAGAAAAGAACAGGGATCACCACAAACAGCAGCAGGAACAGCAGCAAGATCGAATACCTCACGGAACAGATAAAGAGGATGCCTCGGGAAGGGAGCAAGGAGCAGACAATTTCGATGACATGCGTCGCAATATAAATTTGAAATTGAAAGAGGCCACAGCAGGGTCTGACAAAGTGTCGGCATTGTGGGTAGATGCGCTAAAGGATGCAGTGGATGTGCAAACCCGGCTACTCAGAAACGATCGCTACGTCGCACATGAAGTCAGAATAAGGCAGTTGAGGAATTATGTGCGGGAGGTGCGCGCTATGTACGGACTGAAGGGGAGGCGAGAGGAAGGATCTGGAGAGCCGATGGAGGGCATTGAGCCGGTAGGGTGACGGATTGAAATCCCGACAAGCAATTCGGGATACTGAAGTCAGCAGCTTCCCACAGGGTTATCATGCTTATAGATGGTGGAGAAATTCGCACACGTGACCTTTAAAGTGAGTGAGTGTATACAAGACAGGACCTGAATCACTACCATGCGAGAGGACCCCTATTGGTTTTGAGAGGACAACCTCAAACCTACCCTCCATAGGCGAAGAGGTGCAAAATTGTACAGCAAGATGTCTCATGAAGGTGACAACCGGTCTGAAGCCTCCGGAATAAGACCAAGTGAAGAGCGATCAATTGGGTTATGAGAATGAGGAAGGAGACAAAAGAGGTATGGCGATGGACGAAATGGTGATTATGAGAGAGCCGTGACGAAGAATGCAAGGGAAGAGAAATGAAGCGCGTCATTCGTGATGGGATGGGAGAAAAACAGATGGGGCACAGGTGGCAGCATGCAGGGTCCTGAAGATAATGGCAGATTGCAAGAATCACGAGCATCATGAAAACATTACAACATTACTGAGACACCCTGGATTCTGAACTCTTTCGCCTGTACATCCATTTCAAGTGCCACAAGCCCCGCCACGCGCCTTTGCTTCGTGCACCTTCTCCCTTCCTCTCTGTCCCTTCCACGCATGTGACTCTGCGGCCACTTATGCCCAAGTTCAATCCCTCACCTTAGCTCTCGTCTTCGGAAGAGAAATGATCCATTGCCTCCATCGCTTTCTTCCCTCCTCTTCCCCCCTTCCTGTTTCCAACCAACCGAGCTGCCCTCCTCAAGGCTCTCCCTCCTTCCTCTTCCTCTTCCTCCTCCTCCTCCATCGCCACCCCCTGTACCTCGTCGTCCGCCTTCCTCCCCCTCCCCCTCCCCCTCCCCCTCCCCTCGCCTTTTCCCCCACGTGCCACAGACTTGACCCGCCCTTTCCCCTCTGACGACGTGCTTTTCCTTTTCCTTCCCACCCCCTCTCGGCCTTTCCCCCGTGCGTCACCCGGTTCAGGCTCCTGGCTCCTCCTCCCTCCCCCCCCTTTCCCCTGCGCCACTCTCCCCCTTCCTTCCCTCTGCTCCTTTCTGACCCTTTCCGCCTCCTTTTCTTTCTCTCTCGCTTTCTCCCGCCTCGTTTCCTCCCGAACGAGCCGGGAATGCATTTGTTTCACCTGTTGCCGCGTCCTCCCACTCCCCATCTCTCCCGCGATCTTCACCCAGTTCGGCCCATGCGTCTCCACCAATGCCCTCAACCTCCCCACCTCCTCCTCGCTCCAATCCCCTCGGTTCGTGTGCGGATGTAAGGTCTGGTACCACCGGCTTCGGCATTGCACGTCGCTTCGCCCCGGCAAGTGATTCGCCACACTCCGCCACCATCCCCCTCCCCCCACCCCGACCTCCGCCTTCAGGCTACCACCCGTCAGCTTTTGTCGGCCCTCCTTTACCTCCCTCCAAACTTCGGGCGCGTAAGCCTTGGTCGCCAAAATCAAACGCTTTTGCTCCTCCCGGCTGAACGCTTCCTTGTTCAGCTCCCGGCTGTTCTGCCGGTGCCGGCATTGGCTGGCGCTTCGTGTCCCGACGTGCTCGGCCACGAGCGTCCAATTGTCCGCGTAGAGAGCCACGCCCGTTCCGAGCCGCTCGTCCTCCTCCGCCGTCCACGGCCCCCGGTTGATGAGGTTGGAAGGGACCAGAGCGTGGGGGAGGGAAGAGGGGTTCCCACTTTTCGCTGCGCCTCCTCCTCCTCCCCTCCTCCCCCCCCCCGCGGCTGCGTCCACCCGAGCTCCCTCTTCTGTCTCCTCGTCCCCACTCACCTTCGAGCCCCTCTCTCTCTGCCTCCCCTCCCTCCCCATCGCTGGTAGGCTCTCAGGCACTGAATCGCCGAATGCCCCCCCCCAAGCTTTCGCGCAATTTCTTCCCACCCATGTCCCTTGGACGCCACCGCCAGCTCCACCAGCCGCTTCTGTTCGTCAGGACTGAAGGTGGAAGGGACTGCCACTTTATTGCGCCAACGCCGGGCGAGAGAGAGCACGGGGCGGGGCAGAGTCCGGAGGCGCTTTGGGTGGTGGGGGCGGAGCTGTTCGGAGACCTGACATAAATGCGAGGATGAGCATGGGTTTTCTTTACACACGGTATTTGTCGCCATGGAACGCCTTTCTCCTTCCCTCCCTCCCTGGCCCCCTCTCCCCGCTTACCTTGCGCCAGTCCAGCATACGCTCCACCTTGTCGTCCTCCCTGCGCGCCGTCTCCGTCATACGACCCAACAGAGGAATGTCCTTTCCTTCCAGCCCCAGTCGAGCTTGAATCGCGGCTTTCTCTTTCAATACCAATGCTTTAAAGATTTTCTGTGACCGATCAGACGTGGCATGAGAAGGAGCATGAACCACGCGCATGTCCTCTGCAAGTGCGCCCACCACACGTCCCAAATCCCACGCACCTCCTCCTGAGGCGTCCATCCCCCATCCTCAAGGGCTGCGTTTAGACGGCGCAAGCGCTCGGAATAACCTGGGGAGGTGATGATCCGGGGAGGGCATTGGCCCATTTCGTCCTGCCAATAGCTTGAGTACGACTGCATGTTGCGTGGCATTACGTGTCCCTCCCGGTCCCGGTGCAAGGCCTCTATCATTTCGTAGAAGGCGACCCTTCGCGTCGCCAAGGACCTCTGACAGAAGGGAAGCGGAGAGGGTGGGGAGAGCATGTATGAGGGACATGACACCGACACTAGCCTTTCATTCCTCCTTTCAATTTCCCGCAGTTCTTCCCCTGCTGTGTTCACGACCGCTTTCCTGGCACGGTAATATGCATGCACATTTAACATTGAATTCTATAGAAGCGATGTTACCCCCCTTTCCCCCCCTACGTACCTGATAATCCTCCACCAACAAGTCGATTCGTCTCCTTCCCTCCATGCACCGTCTCCATAACTCTTCTCCACTTCTCGGGTCTCTCACGCCCCGTGTCGCACGATCCGTCCCGCCCGGCTGATGACCATCGAGCTGATCCTGTTCATGATGGTCCTCTGCCTCGCCAAGAGATGGTATTGTGCTGCCACTCGCGTCCGGGCATTGCGCCCTCTCCTCTTCAACCCTCTCACACTGCAGAGCGACAAACTCCCTGCTATCCACCCCTGTGCCGCCCAAGGCCAGGTGCGACATGCCTTATATACTGTACAAAGATGTATTGGGATGGAAACGCGTGTCATTCAAGAGGTAAAGCACGCTGTCCTCGTTGTGAAGTTGTCAGGCTCGCTGAAGCAGTACGTAAGGGAACTTGACCTCCTCTTGCCTCTTTTCCCGTTGCTGTGCTCCCACCCAGTAAAGAAGACCCTCTACCACATTATTCCTTATTTTCTGAAATGTACTCCTACCTTTCCAATCCATCCTTCCAGGCGATGCGTGCGGGAAGGGCGGCGGGATCCATTCGAAGAGGGACCTCATTTTTCGGTGTCGTGCTCACGATGCTCGTCGGCACTGCCATTCTTCCTCGTGTCCTTGGCTTCGTCGCGGGGCTCCCACGCCATCAAGTATCGCGTGTAATCGCAGCTAGTATTGCGAGTGCGGGGCCGCGGATATACGAGGAAGGACAGGTACATGAGCTCGGGGCGACGAGTGTGTTGTAGGGTGGGAAAGGGAGGGATGAGGCTGAGGGAGAGCCGCGTCTGTCTCTGTCGTTATCACGCATGGATGGACGTTATTCTCACTCGGGACGATAACAGGGTATAATTTAGTTGCAAACTTTGCTTGAAAAGACGCAAACGTGTGTCTAGATAGAAGTCAGACGATAGCAAGGGCGCCGCAGCCAAGCCAGCCAGTAATTTTCTTATCAGCATCCCTCACAACGAATGGAACGGGACCTAACGACACTTGATAATGGTTCAATATTTAATAATAATCGCAGGATCCCAAGGAGCTCTTTGAGCTCTTTGAGCCGCCGACCGCGGCGGAGATAGCCGGCGCAAAAGTAGAACGACTGCGGCCATTGGGCCGTCGAAAGGCTCGATCCCTCGTACACGCCGAGGGGGATTGGCACCGGTAAGACATTAGATATACAGTATGGGAAGGAGCAGGATATAGGAGAGGGGCCTAAGAGAGGGGATGTGCCATTGACGTGTCGAAAAGCAAATATGGCAAGGATTGTCGGTGGAGCTTGGGGCAGGCGCCGTAGCTTGGTGATGTGACGGTTCTCTTTTCGGTTTTCTTGTGTTTGATTGTACGTCTTGTATTTGAGAAACAGCAATCATCTCGTTCTTCCCCCCCGGCTAACAGCCCTCTCCCGTGCCATCAGGAGAGACCGGATCATACAGCATCCCCCCCTTTGAGACTCCCCCCCGGCTCTTGCTCGCTCCCATTAAATTTTCCCTTTCCATTCTTTGTGTTTACAGGGCGGTCCATATCTGGCTCACGGACGACCATGGAAGGCTGCTCCTCCAGCGCCGTTCGAAATTCAAAGACACCTTCCCAGGACGATGGGACGTGAGCTGTGGGGGGCACATAGAGGCAGGGGATACCTCTTTTCCTACTGCGGTGCGGGAGCTGGAAGAAGAGTTGGGACTGGAAGAGCCCGTGGCAAGTCAAGTGGAGAAGTTGTACACGCTCGCCTGCACGAATAGAGGAGTCACCGAGAGGCATGGCGCCTTTATTTGCCGGGAATTTCAAGATTTCTTTTTATTGCGCGTGGGCAAGGAACATGATATGACAAGGTACAGATACCCGCCCGGGGAAGTGAGCGAGGTAAGCGGAATGGAGCGAGGGGATCAAATGTAGGTGTCGGTTCGGAACGAACAATACCTCACTCCAATTCCTCCCCCACAGATCAAGCTCATGCATTACAAGGACTGGGAGGCAAAAGTGGCAGCCAACGACCCGGAGTACGTGCCAAGGCAAGCTCATTACAGGGAGGCATTCTGTAAGCACATGGATGAGTTGCTGGGAGACAGGAGCAGATAATGAGTCGAAAATTTTGGAGGAATCGAACGAAAAGAAACGAGAAGGTAAAATGGACATGTCATGATGCAGACACCTCATAAATATTTGATTGACCCAAAAATATAAGTCTTTTCGACAGTTTCTGGCGTTCTCCGCATCCGTTGTCCACTACGTTATCTCTACGTGCCTGATGTTATTCCGTGCGCTTTGCGCTTTCTCCGAGAAAATCCTGGCTGAAACGCTTTTCCTTCATGGCACTCCCTCAACCGTAATCTTTGTATCAAAATGTTATTCGGGAAGAGATAAACATCGTGTCGTGTCCGAGAGACGACGAATGTATGTGCCCCAAAACTTGGGCTATCAGCAAGCTCTTCAAAATCGCGGACCCGCTTATTGCTGAGATTCATGCCACTGCCGACCCTGTTCCCAATCTCGATCTTCCAAACTTGGAGTCGTAGCCTGTCAGTTACCTCCACAACAACTACATCAGCCATATGACCATGCAGGACTTGTCCGTTTTGGGGGGGGCTGCGTGGTGGTATGCGTGTCCGCGAGCGTGGCGGGGTTCGACCATGTAGCTCACAACGGCGGTATTGTTCTCGGAGCGAAAGTGGCAAAAAACATCACCCACGCGAACAACCCTATTCGATCTTACACACATGTAGCTTGACGCAATAAAATGGTCATCGGATGCCGGCTACGAATTTCCTTTGGCGTCAAGTCTGTTGCTGCCCCTCTTCTTCTTAGAGCCCGGGGCCGGAATGGTAACCGGGAAATACGCCGTAACATACTTAACTCTCCTCATGTCAGCAGGGAAAGTGATGGAGGTTTGGTTCGTGAGGACGAGCCACATCTACAGCGCGTCGGCAAAGAGTAAGTGATAGGGGGATCGGGAAAAAGAATGACTCGTGAAAGTCGTGGTAATTGGAAGCCATCCTCCGCTCTGCTCACGTCCGAGTTTGTTGAAGGGTACCGCGTGCACCTTCTCACACATATTAGCACCCAGACATTTTTACTGTTATTTGACAGTCCCAGTGATTTATGTAGGAGGTTTCATGAGATGGACTCTGTGTAGGAGGTTTCATGAGATGGACTCTGTTGTCTTGTGGGAACCGTGGCTTGGGTTTTGACCCTGCCTGACTGTTTCTCCTCTGGCTGTTGTGTCGTGCTTGAAGGAAGGACCCCGCACCAAGAAGGCGTAATTAAGATAACTTTTGAAGCATTCTAACGGCCTCAACCTGTCCATGGTGTCCCTTCTGACAGGCCTGTCTTTGTGGAGAGCGCGCTTGAGGCCGTCTCAGATATCAGGTCCGGCCAGCGGGTCGTTATCCAGGGGGCAATCGCAACCCCCACGTTGCTCATTGACGCCATGACCGAGTATGGGAAAAGCGTAGGCTTGAAAGGGGTCAAAGTCTGCCACCTGCATACGGAGGGGACGGCCCCCTATGTGGAAGAGGAG